ATGGGATTTTGCACTGGGGGTCTGGTCACTGCGTGCCTGCAGCGCATCCTGCTGCACCGGTGCGCTATGGGGCAGCGCTATGGGGCAGCGCTATGGGGGCCATGGGGACAACTGCCCCCTAGCGGCCAACCTGGTCACTGCGTGCCTGCAGCGCATCCTGCTGCACCGGTGCGCTATGGGGCAGCGCTATGGGGCAGCGCTATGGGGGCCATGGGGACAACTGCCCCCTAGCGGCCAACCTGGTCACTGCGTGCCTGCAGCGCATCCTGCTGCACCGGTGCGCTATGGGGCAGCGCTATGGGGATCCTATGGGTCCCAATGTCTCTCTATGGGTCTCTCTGTGTTCCTATTGGTCCCTATGGTTCTCTCTCTGTGCTCCCATTGGTCCCTAAGGGTCCCTCTCTGTGCTCCCATTGGCAGGGACCCGCAGGGGGCGGTGCTGCACGCACAGGAAGTGATCTCGGTCCTGCTCTCTATGTGTCCCTCTCTGTGTTCCCATTGGTCGCTATGGGTCCCTCTCTGTGCTCCCATTGGCAGGGACCCGCAGGGGGCGGTGCTCCACGCACAGGAAGTGATCTCGGACCTGCTCTCTATGGGTCTCTCTGTGTTCTGTGTCTCTGTGTTCCCATTGGTCGCTATGGTTCTCTCTCTGTGCTCCCATTGGCAGGGACCCGCAGGGGGCGGTGCTGCACGCACAGGAAGTGATCTCGGACCTGCTCTCTATGTGTCTCTGTGTTCCCATTGGTCCCTATGGGTCTCTCTCTGTGTTCCCATTGGTCCCTAAGGGTCCCTCTCTGTGCTCCCATTGGCAGGGACCCGCAGGGGGCGGTGCTGCACGCACAGGAAGTGATCTCGGACCTGCTCTCTATGTGTCTCTGTGCTCCCATTGGTCACTATGTGTCCCTCTCTGTGTTCCCATTGGTCCTTAAGGGTCCCTCTCTGTGCTCCCATTGGCAGGGACCCGCAGGGGGCGGTGCTGCACGCACAGGAAGTGATCTCGGACCTGCTCTGTGACCGCCTGGACCTCTCCCAGCTCGTCATCACCAAGGAGCTCACCAGGGCCGCCACCGAGTACGCGGCGCCGCAGGCACACGTGAGCCTGGCACAGAGGTGCGCGCCCCATAGGGACACATAGGGACCCCATAGAGACCCCATAGGGACCCCATAGAGACCCCATAGAGACCCATAGACCCCTATGGACATCCCCCATAAAACCATATGGACATCCCCCATAGACCCCTATGGACATCCCCTATGGACATCCCCATTGATCCCCATTGACACCCCCTATAGATGCCCCCCATAGACACCCATTGCCATCCCCATTGATCCCCATTGATACCCCCTATAGATGCCCCACATTGATCCCCATTGACACCCCCTATAGATGCCCCCCATTGCCATCCCCATAGACCCCCATTGCCATCCCCATAGGCCTCCGTTGCCACCCCCACTGATCCCCATTGACACCCCCTATAGATGCCCCCCACTGCCATCCCCATAGACCCCCATTGCCATCCCCGTTGATCCCCATTGACACCCCCTATAGATGCCCCTCATAGACCCCCATTGTGATCCCAATTGATCCTCACTGATCCCCATTAATACCCCTATAGATGCCCCACATTGATCCCCATAGAGCCCCATTGCCATGCCCATTGACACCCCCTGTAGTTCCCCCCATTGATCCCCATTGCCCCCCATTGCCCCCCAGGATGCGGCAGCGGGACCCCGGCAGCGCCCCGGCCCTGGGGGACCGCGTCCCCTACGTCATCGTCAGTGGGGCCAAGGGGGAGGCCGCCTACACCCGCTCGGAGGTGGGTCCATAGGGGGCAATGGGGGGTGGGACCCATAGGGGGCAATGGGGAGTGGGACCCATAGGGGGCAATGGGGGTGGGACCCATAGGGGGCAATGGGAGCGGGTCCCATAGGGGGCAATGGGGGCGGGACCCATAGGGGACAATGGGGGGCGGGACCCATTGAGATCAATGGGGAGCGGGTGCCATAGGGATCAATCGGGAGCGGGTCCCATAGGGATCAATGGGAGAGGGTCCCATAGGGGTCAATGGGAGCGGGTCCCATAGGGATCAATGGGAGCGGGTCCCATAGGGATCAATGGGAGCGGGTCCCATAGGGATCAATGGGGAGCGGGTCCCATAGGGATCAATGGGAGCGGGTCCCATAGGGGTCAATGGGAGCGGGTCCCATAGGGATCAATGGGAGCGGGTCCCATAGGGATCAATGGGAGCGGGTCCCATAGGGATCAATGGGAGCGGGTCCCATAGGGATCAATGGGGAGCGGGTCCCATAGGGAGCAATGGGAGCGGGTCCCATAGGGGTCAATGGGAGCGGGTCCCATAGGGATCAATGGGAGCGTGTCCCATAGGGATCAATGGAGGGGTACCCATGGCCTGTGTCCCCCAGGACCCCATCTACGCCCTGGAGCACAACCTGCCCATTGACAGCCTCTATTACCTCCAGCATCAGCTCGCCAAGCCCCTGCTCCGCATCTTCGAGCCCATCCTGGGCGAGGGCCGCGCCGAGAGCGTCCTGCTCAGTGAGGAGAGGGCCAAAATGGGCCCAAATCACCCCAAAACAGCCCCGAAATCACCCTAAACTGGCCCAAAATGAACCAAACTGGCCAAAAATGACCCAAAACAGCCCCAAAATCACCCAAAACTGGCCCGAAATCACCCAAACAGCCCCGAAATCACCCCAAACAGGCCAAAATCACCCAAAGAGCCCCGAAATCACCCAAAACTGGCCAGAAATCACCCCAAACAGCCCCGAAATCACCCCAAACAGGCCAAAAATGAACCAAAACATGCCCAAGATGACCCAAACAGGCCAAAAATGACCCAAACAGGCCCAAAATGACCCAAACCGGCCAAAAATGCCTCAAAACAGGCCGAAAATGACCCAAAAGAGGCCAAAAATGACCCCAAATTGGCCAAAAATGACCCAAAACAGGCCAAAAATGACTCCAAAGTGACCCAAAAAAAGCCCAAAATTGACACAAAGGAGCCCAAAATAGCCCCAAACTTTCCCTTTATAACCCAATGGGGGGGTGCCCCCCATTGCCCCCAATGTGGGGTGCCCCCCATTGCCCCCCATGTGTCCCCACAGGGGGGGAGCACACCCGCTGCAAGACCCTGCTGACGGCACAGGTCGGGGGGGGGCTCATGGCCTTCGCCAAGCGCCGCAGCACGTGTGTGGGGTGCCGGGCCGTGCTACAGCACCACGGTAAGGGGGGGAGCTGTGGGGCAGCCCCATAGGGAGCCATTGAGCGGGGCAGGGGAACTCCCCCCCAGAGGGTAAAGGGAGCGTCCCACCTGAGCTATGCCATAGAGACACCGCTAGGGGGAGCTGTGGGGCAGGTCCCATAGGGAGCCATTGAACAGGGCAGGGGAACCCCCCCATAGAGGGGAATGGGAGCGTCCAGGCTGGGCTATGCCATAGAGACACCGCTAGGGGGAGCTGTGGGGCAGGCGCCATAGGGACCCATTGCGTGCTTCCCCCCCCTCCCTCCCAGTCATCCCATTGCCCCCCAGTGTCCCCCATGGCCACTTTTATTGCCCCCTCTTTCCCCATAACTGCCCCCTATTGATCCATAACTGCCCCCATTGCCCCATAACTGCCCCCCATTGCCCCCCATTGCCCCATAACTGCTCCCATTGCCCCATAACTGCCCCCCCATTGACCCCCATTGACCCATAACTGCTCCCATTGCCCCATAACTGCCCCCCCACTGCCCCATAACTGCCCCCATTGCCCCATAACTGCCCCCATTGCCCCATAACTGCCCCCCATTGCCCCCTATTGCCCCATAACTGCCCCCCATTGCCCCCCATTGCCCCCCATTGCCCCATAACTGCCCCCCATTGCCCCATCTCTGTTCCCAGGAGCCGTCTGTGATTTCTGCAGCCAGCGCCAGGCTGAGCTCTACCAGAAGGAGGTGATGGGGGGGCAGTGGGGGCTATAGGGGGCTATAGGGGGGGGGCTATGGGGGGCTCTATAGGGGTCTATGGGGTCTATAGGGGCATCTTTGGGGTCTATAGGGGGGTCTATGGGTGGCTTTATAGGGGTCTATGGATCTATGGGGGGTCATGGGGGCCTATGGGGTCTATAGGGGGGTCTATGGGGTGTCTAGGGGGGTCTGTAGGGTCTATGGGGTCTATGAGGTGTCTATGGGGGAGTATGTAGGGTCTATGGGGAGCCTATGTGGTCTATAGGTGGGTCTATGGGGTCTATGGGGGGGCTTATGGGGTCTGTAGGGGTGTTGGTGTCTATAGGGTCTACGGGGGGGTCTATAGTGTCTCTATGGGGTCTCTATGGGGTCTCTATGGGGTCTCTATGGGCTCTATGGGGTCTCTATGGTCTCTATGGGGTCTCTATGGTCTCTATGGGGTCTCTATGGGGTCTCTATGGGTCCCTATGGTCCCTATGGGGTCTCTATGGGTCTCTATGGGTCTCTATGGGCTCTATGGGGTCCCTATGTGTCTCTATGGGGTCTCTATGGGGTCCCTCTGTGTCTATGGGAGTTGCTGTTGCAGGTGGGGGCCCTGGCGGCCCTGGAGCAGCGCTTCTCCCGCCTCTGGAGCCAGTGCCAGCGGTGCCAGAGCGCCCTGCACCAGGACGTGCTCTGCACCAGGTGCGGCCACGGGGAACCACTGGGAACCACTGATACCCATTGGGAACCATTGAGACCCATTGGGAACCATTGACACCCATTGGGAACCATTGGGAACCATTGACACCCATTGACACCCATTGACACCCATTGAGCCCATTGAGCGCCACTGAGCCCCACTGAATCCCATTGAACCCACTGAGACCCGTTGAGATCCATTGAGACCCATTGACACCCATTGATACCCATTGGGACCCGCTGATACCCATTGACACCTATTGATCCCATTGACACCCATTGATACCCATTGGGACCCATTGACACCCACTGAGCCCATTGAGCGCCACTGAGCCCCTCTGAATCCCATTGAACCCACTGAGACCCGTTGAGATCCATTGAGAGCCATTGAGACCCGTTGAGTCCCATTGATCCCATTGAAAGCCATTGAGATCCATTGAGTCCCATTGAATCCATTGAGCCCATTGAGTCCCATTGAACCCATTGCCCCCCATTCCCCCTTTTACCCCATTACCCCCATCGCCCCCATTACCCCCATTACCCCCCCTCACCCCCATTGCCCCCATCACCCCCATTCCCCCCATTCCCCATCACCCCCATTCCCCCATCACCCCCATTACCCCCCTCACCCCCATTCCCCCTATCACCCCCATTACCCCCCTCACCCCATTACCCCCATATCCCCCCATAGCCGGGACTGCCCCATATTCTACATGCGGCGCAAGGTGCAGAAGGACCTGGATGCTCAGCAGGCGCTGGTGGCTCGTTTTGGGGTCCCCTCCTGGTGACCCCCCCTCCATTGCCCCCCAATGGCCACATCCGGGCCTTTTCTGGTTGTGGGGGGGGCCCCTATGCTCAATAAACGCCCCATAGAAACCCATTGGGCTCCCATTGATCTATGGGGTAAAAGGGGAGGGTCCTCCGCGCCGCTAGGGGGCGCTCTGCGCCTGCGCCGCAGCTCCTCCCTCACCCCGCGTCCCCTCCCTCTATGGATATGGGCGGGGTTCCGCGCCGTTGATGGACAAAGGGCGCGGACCAATCGCGGCGCGGCCTCGGGGAGCGGCGGCCAATGAGGAGGCAAGGGGGGAGGGACTGGTTCCGCCCGCGCTATAAAAGGAGCGGGGTCGGTGACGGTGCGTGAGGGGAGGGGGGGCAGGCGGCGCGGACAAGATGGCGGAGGCGGCGACGAACTGCATCATGGAGGTGAGCGGGGCCTATGGGGCTCTGTGGGGCGCTGTGGGGCTCTGTGGGTCCCTATGGGTCCCTATGGGGTTCTGTGGGGCGCTATGGGGTTCTATGGGGCGCTATGGGGCTCTATGGGGTTCTATGGGGCGCTGTGGGTCTCTATGGGTCTCTATGGGGCCTATGGGGCCCGTACTGGGGCCGCGGAGGCCTCTATGTGGGGGGGCGTCTATAGGGCTCTGTGGGGCCTATACTGGGGTGGTTGGGGGGGCTCTATGGGGTCCGTAATGGGGTTGGGGGGGGTCTGTGAGCGTCTATGGGGGTTACTGGAGTCTCTATGGGGCTCAGTGGGGCTCAATGGGGCTCTGTAGGGTACTATGATACTCTATGGGGCTCTATAGGACTCAGTGGGGCTCTGTGGGGCTCAATAGGGGTCTATGGGACTCCATAGGGATCAATGGAGGCTCTGTGGGGCTCCATAGGGGTCAATGGAGGCTCTGTGGGGCTCCATAGGAGTCAATGGAGGATCAATGGGGCTCAATAGGGATCAGTGGAGGCTCTATGGGGGTCAATGGAGGCTCTGTGGGGCTCAATGGGGCTCAATGGAGGCTCTGTGGGACTCTATAGGAATCAATGCAGGCTCTGTGGGGCTCAATAGGAGTCAATGGAGGCTCTGTGGGGCCCAATGGGGTTCTATGGGGCTCCATAGGGATCAGTGCAGTCTCTATGGGGTTCTATGGGGCTCAATGGGGCTGGAGGGGGGCCCCACACGCACGTGGGGATCCGGGCCCCGCCCCCCTTCCCGCAAGCCCCGCCCCCGCCACGCGGCTCCCGCCAGCGCGGGAACAAAGGGGAGGGGGGAGGGGCGGGGCCTGTCGCGATAGAGGGGGGACGATGCACGCCCTATCGCGATAACAGAGCCCCCCCCCATAGACCCCCATGGGGCCGCCCCCCCCGCCCCATAGACCCCCATGGGGCCGCCCCCCCGCCCCATAGACCGCCATGGGGCCTCCCCCCCCGCCCCATAGACCCCAGTGGTCTCCCGGCCCCATTGACGCCTGTGGGCTCCCCGCCCCATAGACCCCTATGGTCTCCCCGCCCCATTGATCCCTATGAGCTCCCCGCCCCATAGACCCCTATGGGCTCCCCGCCCCACTGACCCCTATGGTCTCCCCGCCCCATAGACCCCTATGGTCTCCCCGCCCCATAGACCCCTATGGTCTCCCCGCCCCATAGACCCCTATGGTCTCCCCGCCCCATAGACCCCAATGGTCTCCCCGCCCCATAGATCCCATTGGTCTCCCGGCCCCATTGATCCCTATGGGCTCCCTGCCCCATAGATCCCATTGAGCTCCCCTCCCCATAGACCCCTAGGAGCTCCCTGCCCCACTGACCCCTATGGGCCCTCTCCCCCCAGGTCTCCGGCCCCCCCAGCGCCAGCCCCAAGCCCCCCGCCGAGGAGATGACCTCCAAGGATTACTACTTCGACTCCTACGCGCACTTCGGCATCCACGAGGTACCCCAAAACCCCCTTTTTCCCCCAAAACCGCCCTTTTTCACCCCAAATCCGCCCCTTTTCACCCCAAAACTTCCCCTTTTCACCCCAAAACTGCCCTTTTTTGCCCAAAACTGCCCTTTTTCCCCCCAAACCCCCTGTATTTTGCCCAAATCTGCCCTTTTTCACCCCAAAACTTCCCCTTTTCACCCCAAAACCTCCATTTTCCCCCAATCACTCCCTTTTTTGCCCAAATCTGCCCCTTTTCACCCCAAAACTGCCCTTTTTTGCCCAAATTTGCCCTTTTTCACCCCCAAATCAGCCTTTTTCACCCCAAAATCCCACTTTTTCAGCCAAAAAACCTCTTTCCCAAAATCCCTCTTTTTCACCCTAAAACCCCCTTTTTTTGCTCTGAAAACCTGCTGCCCAAAAACCTGGTTCTTTTCACCCCGAAAACCTTTCTGAAGAAAAACTTTATTCACCCCAAAAGTCTTTACCAAAATCACCTTTTTTTGCCCCAAAAATGTCTTTACAAAAATCCTTTTTTTCACCCCAAACCCCTCTCACTCAAAGACCCCATTTTTCACTGCAAAACCCTTTTTACAAAAAACCACTTTTTTCACCCCAGAAATGTCTACCAAAATCACCTTTTTGCACCCCAAAACCCATTTTTCCCAAAACCCCTGTTTTTCCCCCCAAACCCGCTGTTTCCCCTCTCATTATGGGATGTCCCCATAGGAGATGCTCAAGGCCGAGGTGCGCACCCTCACCTACCGGAACTCCATGTTCCACAACCGCCTCTTTCCCAAAACCCCTGTTTTTCACCCCAAAACCCTCTTTACCAAAATCCCCTTTTTTCACCCCAAACCCCCTGTTTCCCTTCTCATTATGGGATGTCCCCATAGGAGATGCTCAAGGCCGAGGTGCGCACCCTCACCTACCGGAACTCCATGTTCCACAACCGCCTCTTTCCCAAAACCCCTGTTTTTCACCCCAAAACCCTCTTTACCAAAATCCCCTTTTTTCACCCCAAACCCCCTGTTTCCCTTCTCATTATGGGATGTTCCCATAGGAGATGCTCAAGGACGAGGTGCGCACCCTCACCTACCGGAACTCCATGTTCCAGAGCCGCCTCTTTCCCAAAACCCCTGTTTTTCACCCCAAAACCCTCTTTACCAAAATCCCCTTTTTTCACCCAAAACCATTTTTACCAAAATCACCTTTTTTCACCCCAAAACCCATTTTTCCCAAAATCGCCTTTTTTCACCCCAAAACCCTCTTTACCAAAATCACCTTTTCTCACCCAAAACCATTTTTACCAAAATCACCTTTTTTCACCCCAAAACCATTTTTACTAAAATCCCCTTTTTTCACCCCAAAACCCATTTTTCCCAAAATCGCCTTTTTTCACCCCAAAACCCATTTTTCCCAAAATCGCCTTTTTTCACCCCAAAACCATTTTTACCAAAATCGCCTTTTTTCCCCCCAAACCCCACAGGAGATGCTCAAGGACGAGGTGCGCACCCTCACCTACCGGAACTCCATGTTCCACAACCGCCACCTCTTCAAGGACCGGGTCGTGCTGGACGTGGGCAGCGGCACCGGGATCCTCTGCATGTTCGCCGCCAAGGCCGGCGCCAGGAGGGTCATTGGGGTGAGGGGGGGCTATGGGGGGTCCTATGGGGGGCTATGGGGGACTATGGGGCTTAAAGGGGTCTATGGGGGTCATTGGGGTAAGGGGGGCCCGGGGGGCTATGGGGGTCATTGGGGTAAGGGGGGGCTCTAGGGGGGGCTATGGGGGTCATTGGGGGTCATTGGGGTAAGGGGGGTCAATGGGGGTCTATGGGGGGTCAATGGGGGTCTATGGGGTTCTATGGGGGGTTAAAGGGTGGGGCTATGGGGATCCTATGGGGGCTTAAAAGGGGTGCTGTGGGGGTCCTATGGGGGCTTAAAGGGGGTTCTGTGGGGTCCTATGGGGGCTTAAAAGGGGTGCTATGGGGGTTCTATGGGGGCTTAAATGTGGGGCTATGGGGGTCCTATGGGGGATTAAAGGGGGACCTATGGGGTCTTAAAAGGGATGCTATGAGGGTCCTAAGAGGTCCTATAGGGGCTTAAAGGGGGTCTGTGGAGGTCCTATGGGGGCTGAAAGGGGTCTATAGGGGTCCTATGGGGGATTAAAGGGGGTCTGTGTGGGTCCTATGGGCTTCTATGGGGTTTAAAGGTGCCTATGGGAGTCCTATAGGGTCTTAAAGGGGGTCTGTGGGGTCTTAAAGGGGCAATAGGGGGCTGAGGGGTCTCTATGGGGCTCTATGGGGCTCTATGGGGCCGCTGTGGGTCTCACCCCCCCTGTTCCCCCCCAGATCGAGTGCTCGAGCATCTCCGACTACGCCGTCAAGATCATCAAAGCCAATAAACTGGATCATGGTGAGAGCCTGCCCCATAGCGCCCCATAGCGACCCATAGCGCCCCATAACTGCCCCATAGTGCCCCATAGCGACCCATAGCGCCCCATAGCAACCTATAACTGCCCCATAGCGCCCCATAGCGACCCATAACTGGCCCATAGCGACCCGTAACTGCCCCATAGCGACCCATAGCAACCCATAGTGACCGGTAATTGCCCCATAGTGCCCCGTAGCGACCCATAACTGCCCCATAGCGCCCCATAGTGACCCATAACTGCCCCATAGCGCCCCATAGTGACCAGTAACTGCCCAATAGTGCCCCATAGTGACTGCTAACTGCCCCATAGCGCCCCATAGCGACCTGTAACTGATCCATAGCACCCCATAGTGACCCATAGCGACCCACAACTGCCCCATAGCGCCCCATAGTAACCTGTAACTGCCCCATAGCCGCCCCATAGTGACTGCTAACTGCCCCATAGTGCCCGGTAACTGCCCCATAGCGACCCATAGCGCCCCATAACTGCCCCATAGCGCCCGGTAACTGCCCCATAGCGACCCATAACTGCCCCATAGAGACCCATAGTGACCAGTAACTGCCCCATAGCAACCCATAACTGCCCCATAGGGCCCCATAGTGCCCCATAACTGCCCCATAGCGCCCCATAGCCGCCCCCTAACCCCTTCCTAACCCCTTCCCCTCTCTCCCAGTGATCTCCA